TTCTTGATACCACCACGTACACGCCAGGAGATGCCGGCATTTTGGCTTTGCTTCGCAGCACGCCTTCTTGGTTTGGCGCAATGGCTCTCCTTCCTAGCTGCCGGGATGTTGAGCTTCCGTGAATGGGTTTCGGGGTTCGGGGGGGGGGGGGGTCTGAGGCCATATGTCCATCTCCACACAGAGGCCCAGCGCAGGATTTCTTATTAAAAGCATAGAAACAGATACGGCGAGACAACTTGAAAAACAATTTGTCGGCCATCTCGCTGTGGTGTCACCTCAGGTGTCCTGCCAACAGTGCTAGCAGGAGTAGTGCAGCATCAAGCTTCCTGCTGGCAAGTCACACTTCTGAGCACGCTTGCCGCACGATGCTTCTAGGAGTCCGTTTGAAGTGCTATCAAGCTGCAATCTCAGCCCGATGCCCAAGCTGGCTAAACGAGCTCGAGGCGACGGAGCACCCTAGACACCCGTTTCCGGGCCTGGCTCGTCACAGCTTGGGCTTCTTGACGCCGAATGCGATGTCCAGCATGTCTCCCACAGTCTTCGACCTTGGTTGATTCACGGCCTCTGCGGCGTGTACGAGTACCATGATGTCCTGCTGCCAAGCCTCTACGTCGACACACAACTGCTCAACAAGCTGCACAAAGAAGCATGCCCCACGGAGCTTGACGCTTCTGGCCCCGGAAGCTTACACCCGAAGGGCTGGACTTCCTTGAACTTGCCAGAGTGCCTAGATAGGCCCAAATCATCCTAGATCCCTTGCAGCCAACCGTGTCTGGGAAGCACTGCTTTGGTTGGATGTCTTCCTTCGTCTTCTTGGGATCACCACCTCAGGGTGTCAGAAATGGGAGGAGAGTTTCCAAGGTTCGGGTTCACGATGTTGAGCTTGATCTTGCAGCACAAGAACGGGTGAAGTCTTGCTTGCAAGATGCGGTCTGCCGCAGCTCGTGACTGGGAATTTGTGTTTCCGAGATGTCTCGCATCCAACTTGCAGCAAACTGTTCGGGAAGGATTGGAAAGGCCAAGCTTCGGGCCCAGAACACGAACGACCTCGGACAGAAATCCAAGAATTGGCGGCTGCTTGAAAAAACCGTTGTCTTGCCTTTCTGGTTCAGAGTTCTCCTATGCCGCTCTCAGATGCTTCATGTCGTTTAGATTCTGCCTTTTGCTGCATACGCTGCTCGCTCGCCAACCAACTCAAAGCTTTCAGACATCAAGATCTAGGTAAATCCAGTGTGTGGACAGGTTCAACATCTTGCCTCAGGTCAAAGCATCTGCCACGTGGTTTTGAAGCGCAAACTTGTCGGCGTCGTACCCGACAGCGACGAAAGCGGTCTGGCAGCAAGGCCAGAGGCTAAAGGCAGGGAGCATACAAGCAGACATGCCCCAGCAAGCAGAACTGGTCTGATCAGCCCGCCCACCTTGACGAAGCCATCCTTGCCTATGATGAAAGTCTTTCGGTCTGTGTTAGGACCTGCTCAGTGTGCACATGGGGGGCGTTGCAGGGCCGCTTTGGAGCACTAAAGAGGGTCAAAGGGGCCGATGGGCTTCAGCGGTATAGCTCCAGAAGCTACAGCCTTGGTACCCCACCGGACCGCACCCTTCCGCAGCACGTGGCCTTGCTCTTCCAGCTCGATATAGGCCCCGTAGAGTTTCGCAACCTGCAGGCAAACTGGTACGAGCTTCCTCTCAACAGACTCCGAAGCCTGGAAACAGATGGCGGGGGCGTTGCAACCAAACTTCCGAGACAGCGGCTCTTTGGCATGGAATCCCTTAAAAACGGACGGCCATCTTTCTGATGGTAGACAATTGCGGACCATGTTTCCACGAGTACCACCGATCGCAGCATCGAAATCGTAATCGGTCTTGGCTGATCGTACCATCTGCCGAATGATACCCTAAACCCCAAAACCCGAACCCTAAGCGACCTTAGCAGGGACAAAAACCTCACACTTAAATCATAAGTCCTCGCCTCCCCCTTCACATCGCAGAGCAAAGGGAAGTTTAGGTCCAGGCCCTTCGACTGCCTTGGTCCGAGAGCCCTCTTGAGGTTTGGAGCATAGGTGTTTAAAGTTTACTTTTTGGCTGCCTTCTTCCGGTCGATTGATCTTAGACGCTTCTGCAGGGCTTCAGTTTCGGGTGTAGGCTGGGCCTGTCAAGAGTTCGGGACTGAACAGCAGCAGAAGCATTTAACTTCAAGAACTGCGGAACTGACAAAGCTATGGTTGAGAGAGCTGGATCTTTAGCGCATGTATTCAGAGCTTCGGCTGCCATGTCAGACTCCCCATCAACCGCCATCCAGAAATCCACCCTCCCAGCTTTCAGGCGTACACGCGCCCAATGCTTCAACCGAAACTTTACAGGTCTCAGTCGCGTTTGGAGCGCCTTGAGCGGCTCTCGCTGTATCTGGCAGAACACAGCAGGGTCTCACACAGAGCGACCAGGACAGAACCTTCACAGCCGTCATCACTCTGGCAGCTCCTCAGGAAGCCGAAAACTGGCAGCCGGACCCCGACGACGGTCGCTCCTCTTTCTGCGAGAGCCTCAAAGCCAGCCCGAGAGCTTTGAGGCGCGATGCAATGCTGGGGTGCTCGGCAGGCATCTCCTCTCTGCGAAAAACGAAGATTTTTGCAAAGGAGCCCTCTTCAAAGCCGTCAGGCTGGGTCGCCGGCTTTCTGCGCTCGATTGAAGTACTGGCACATGGAATGCAGCTGTTTGATTCTAAGCTACGCCCTCGGGTACGTTCCACTTGAAGTGCGGGGACAGGGAACGAAAGCTACGGGGGTATGCGGAGGTTTGGCGACAGCACGTATCGCGAAGATGCGCGAAGCAAGCACTTCGACACCGCAACACTCAATCGGCGAGTCATGAGAGATCGCGACGGATGTCGTGGAGGAGGCAGCTGAGTTGGCGGGCAGCAACGATCCCTTCCTACACAGACGGTAGAAGCAGCGCCGTAAGAAGTGTGCGTTCAGGGACTAGAATGACTATAACGAAAGATCAGGGCTGTCAGGGCTAGCCGTGGAACACCCACGGCCTGCTAAAGACCTCAAGCCTAGACTAATCTTTTCGTCCGGAGGATAAGCTCTCGTCTGAAATCTCCCGGACAGCCTTGACCTCGTCCAGGCCTCCACCTGCCGGGTTCTGAAGTTCCGTCTTCCCCTCCCGAAGCCCTCGAAGCTCAGAGCCGTGCCTCTGAAGCGACTGGAGGGACGGAAAAACATCACCAGATACCTCGACATCTGCGACAGCTTGCAAAGTCTGCTTGGCCACAAGTCACCTTTGAGCCCAGCTCGCAAAAAGACTCTCGGAGCCGGGCTCGTTGCCCTCGAGGAGCTCTTTCAGGGAGAGCTGGGCACAGGCAAAGCCGAGCCCACAAGGCTTCGACGCAGGGCCTCCGGCCTCACCCCCTGTGCTGGCCGGCAACTTGAAGTCGGGAGCGGGTTCGCCCGGCTGGACCTAAGTTGGCTCCAAGGACAAAAAGCCTGGCGACTTTCCGTGGTCGTCCAAAGGTGACCGAAGTCTGAGCAACCGACAGTTCCCCTCGCACGGAACTCGATGATCAAACCCGGCGAAGCCTCCAAGAGAAACCAAGCTTCCAAATCAGAAACCAGTGTTGGAACCAGTGACCCTGTGCCAGCAAATTCCTTTTCTTCCTTTCATCTCCAACCTGAGAGCATGTTTTTGTCATCACGGCTGTTCTCCGTCAGGCCGCCAGTGAGGAGCAGGGGCTTGTCATCTGCTCCAACGTTTCACCAGATCCGAAATGAAGTTCACCCCCGGCTTGGCCAACCGGCTAGAAGTTCACATGAACTTCGTGCCACAAGTAGCCGCCAAAAAACACCGTTTATGATGATGTATACTGCTTGCATGCATTCAAAGTCAGACTCCACTGCCCTTGTTCTCACTTGAAAGACCCGTTGGTGTGCAAGCAAAGGCGGCCACGCCATGCAATGGGAACCGACGTCCTTCAATAAGTTCTGCAAAGAAATTCATGCAACAAGGTCTCATCCGGACATCTTAAAGCCGAAAGCCAGTCAACTGATAAATGTCTATCTCTTCCACTAGGGAACAGGAGCCCTTCCCCATCATACCAAGAAATACCTAACCCACCCCCCCCAGGAACCCTGGACACTAAACGACCAAATAAACAAAAAACGCGAGACCCTGAATCCACTAAGCCCTGAGCCCTGAAGACCCTGAATCGGAAAGCTCGCAAATTGCATTCTAAGTCCAGCCTCGGCACCTTTGATTTCATTCCTGGCAAGCACAGCTTTAGGATTGTTCGCATCAGCGCGCGGCGGTCTAGAGCCCTTTCAGGCACATGAACACGAACCTCTACTAGTTGCACGACTTCGAAGACTCTTTCAAGGAATAGAAAACGAGAAGGGTAGGGAGGTTCAACAAATCATAGGACTCCGACACTAGCCGACCCCAAGCTCTGCGGCCTCAATCTTGTTTTCCGGGATAACCGACTTGACCCAAAGCCCACGGCCCAAACCCAAGTTTCTCAACCTTGGCTGTCCAAAAAAATCCAAAAAAGAAAAACCGAGTCTGTTCAATGCAGCAAACAAAGTATTAACGATGAGGAGCAAGACTAATACAACCGACGAGAAGATTATGCCAGACCCCAAACTGTGATAGAGCCCACCCAACCGACCTACGCCCTACACACCCAATAAGCATTCCCGGAGTGCCGCAAGGCTCTGAAGACCACCCCCAGGAGTCCACACTTTGCTTGGGAGCACAACGACATGGGCGAAGTCACAACACACCCCGCACGTCAGGGTGGAAACAGCACGATTTCGGGATCCAGAAATGCGCCGGACGGCGGTGGGAAGACGATGCGCAAGCCAGAACACTTGTGGCTCTGGGGCGGGAGCACGATTCAACCCCGGAAACTTGCAACCTTGCTAAAACGGGGACTGCACCAACGAGCCCGAGGTGCGGCCATGTTAGGGCTATACTTCGAGGAACTTGACAGCCGAGCAACGCCCGATTCCACCCCAAATACGCACGGCTCTATGGCAGCAGCACGATTCACAAGTTCAGGGGCACGAAAGCAGGTTGCACGTACGGTGCATGTGCATGTGCATGTGTGTGTGTGTGTATATGTATGTATACATGCACAGACACACTCTTGCATGCATGAATGCATACCTGCATGCAAGCACAACTCTTTGCCAAAGGCTCGAAGCTGAGATCTTCTTCAACACCTTGTCCACATTATCCATCCGCCGGAGCTGTCCTTCCTGGGTGGTTCCGAAGCTTCGTGAGCTACAGGATCGATGGGCCGCAGCCGGGAAGGGCTTCTGTAGCAGCTGAAATACCCAACAGACCGCTTCGTGACAGATTCCTTCAGCGGTAGAGTCGATGCCAGTCAGGCCTGTTCCACCGTCTAGTGCAAACTGCTGCAAAGTGGCCGAAAACAGCACGTTCACGTCGGCTTTGTACGCGCCGGTCTCGCGAGAAGTGCAGCAGTTGAGCAGCAAGCTATGCCATCGAAGATTCATTCTACAAAATTGCAGCGTGGAACATGATGAACGGCTGCACTTGGCCAGTACTGAGCTGCCGACGACCTCGTCGCCAACGCGCACTCCCTGCCCCTAGGTTTCGCGTCTGCCAAGCTCGCTGAAATTTCATGGCAACAAATGAAGGAACGGCTGGTTGGGCACTCTGGGTTGCGGCCGTATCATGTCAGTCTAGGAGTGCTTGGCAACTGAAGTTTACAACATGTACCACTTACAACTCAATCACCAAAGACTGCAGCACTTGCCATCACTTGCCGCACCCGCGTGGGCAATTGAGACGCACTGAGATAACGCTTATGCTACGGCTCAGGCCAGGCTCAAGGCTTGTAATCAGAACACAAGTGATCGTCATCATCATCATCATCATCATATCTGTTGGCCCAGCTGGGTTGTTGGGTCCCGCACATAAGCGATTCCACCAGGTTTGATGTAGGTCACCTTCGGGCTGTTCCTGAGCAGGCATGATCATGAAGCCAATGTAAAACTGTCGTGTCGGGAACCAGGCATGTTAGACGATGCTCGGGATCGGCGTGTACATCAACAGGCCCGTGGATGGTCCAGGACAGCGGAAAAGCCACCAAGAATGTGGGCTCGGGCCGGGGCAGAGACTGAGTCCCGCCCATCATGTCTCCACCACCACCTATGTAGAAATCGTCACCTCGGGACGGGTCTCAACAGCAGCAGCAGGGACATCGATTGGCAAACCACGGTCATGATGCAGCTTGTATCAGATGAGCTGGATCGCAGCTTCAAGCTTCAAGCGCTTGCAGCTGCTGCGCCACCTGCTCAACCTCTGAAATCCCAAAACTCCAGGATGAAATTGCAAGGCTGACCGTGGCAGAGCGAGACTGGCGAAACGTAGCAACCCTCTGCCGAAACAGCCCCGAACCCACGTTGGCAACAACACTCTCGGGGCCAGGCTTGGAATCCCGCCGGGGAACCTGGCCTCGACGCGGCTTTGCGGCTGTTCAGGGTCCCTGTACATAGATGTGCGGATGGACATTCCACGCTATTGCGCGTGTGCACATATCATGTGTGTATATACTATCTATGTGTGCGCGTGTCAGTATATGTATATGTATATATGTATATGTATATATGTATATATTTCTGTATATATATACATATATATATATATATGTGTGGTGTGTGTGTGTGTAAATGCACCCACATATACAAATGTATACATGCATGTATATGTGTATGTATGCATAAGTAGACAGATAGATAGATTAACAGATAGATAGGTAGAAAGGTAGATAGGTGGATAGATCGACAGATAGATTGATCGATCGATAAATAGATAGATGGACAGTCGGGTAAATATGATCCCTGTGGTGTGGTGTGGTTCGGGG